ATTTATATTAAGGATTCATTTCAGTCAAATTTAATAACTAATTTGGACACTCAGGGAACGGAGCAGATATGGGTATCCTTAAAAATGAACAACAAATCTATTGCTCTAGGTACTGTATACAAACCGCCTAATTTTTCAACTATTAATTTTCTTTCAGGATTTGAAAATGTTCTTGCTTCTATTGCTCCTAAATATGAATATATGTTGTGTGCTGGTGATTTTAATATTGATGTGTTAGAAATCAATTCTTCTGCTACAAAATTATTAAATAATATATTAAATTCAGTTGACCTTAAACAAATAATTAGTGAACCTACTAATTTGAACGCAACAAAACTAATTGATTTAATTATATGTTCTTCACATTTGGACATTAAAAATACTGGTGTAAAGGACTGTACACATATTGGTGGACACTGGCTAACATACTGCACTTTTGGTAATACAAAGCCAAAATTTCAATCTTTTTTTTACACCTACAGAGACTACAAACATTTTAGCATTCAGAATTTTAATAATCATGTTTACATAACAGATTTTGATCAAATCCTTGTAATGAATACGATAGATGAAAAAATTAATACCTTAAATAGGCTCATTCAGAGTTTATTCGATATACATGCTCCTATCAAAACTGTAAGAATTACTAAAAGGAGAGCACCATGGTTAACTGACATTATCAAACTGATGATGACTTTACGTGATAAAGCTCTCACGAAGTATAAAAGGACAAAAAATATGCAACATTTTGATTATTATAAATTCTTAAGAAATGAAGTCAATCATGCAATTAAGAGGGAAAAAAAGGCTTATCTTGAATTTAAAATACGCACAACTAGTAGTAAAAATATGTGGAGAAAGTTTAGAAATTTGAATATTTATAATAAATCAACCCCTCAAGTGCCAGCGGCTTTAAGTAATGTTGAAGAAATTAATAACTATTTTGCTGGCAATTGTAGTAGTGCAAATACTGTTCTTGATGTTGATATATTAAATAATTATTTGTATAACACTTNGCTTCGTGACAGTTATAACCGAACGTGATTACCCGGCCGGTTTCCCGAATCCTGCTAGGACACACACACTCGTTTTCTCTCCGAACTGTTTTAACTGTTCCGTTTTAGTAGTAAAATGGCGTCCAAGCGTATTTTGCGTTTACTTGGAATCACGGTACCACTTTTAAAAACGAAAAAGTTGAAAAGACAGCGTTCTAGATGGGTCAAGGAGTGGTTGTTGCAGAGGAAAACAGTACAGCTTTAAAATCTATCCGATCTAATATCCAACACGCGGTCCAATCACGTACAGTACTCGGAGCACACACACTCTCAGGAAAGCAAACAGGCCGGTGAATCACGGCATCCGGTCCCAACGAAATTCAACTGGCACCTGATGTTATTCGGGATTACCCGTTCAGGATAATTTTATTCGGGATTGCACATACACTTCCATGTTTACCCATACGGTGTAGTCACGTTCGGTTATAACTGTCACGAAACCCGAAAGTGTGTGGGGCACTTTAGCCAGAGATTAGTGCATTCATTTTCATTAGTAGTATTAGTACATTTGACCGGCTTTGATTGCTTATTGTGGCAACGGCTATTTATTTTAATGCATTTGTGGATAAAATATATTCGTAACGATTCCAGCAACCCCCCTAAAGTTAATATTGAAATGATGAAACTTTCTGGCACACGGTGGGCAGGAAGCAACTTTAAATACGGGTGTGAAGTTATCCACATCCACATTTTCTAGTAGGACTAGAATAGATAAAGCCGTCGCCTCAAAAATTTTGTAAAAAAAATCATTGTTCCATTATAATGTTTTTATTTTAGCATAAATCGATAGCAAATGAGTAATTATAAAGGGTAACGATTACAGATTCATTCGTCATCCCGTACGGGGGGATGAAATGGGGTGAATTTCATAAAAAAAATCATTGCTTCGTTATAACGTGCCTTCGAGTTTTAATTTCACCATAGATCGACATGAAATAAAAAATTACACTATCTAACAGTCTCACATTCATTTGTCAGCCCGTACGGGGGATGAAATGGGGTGAATTTCATAAAAGAAATTAATTACTTCGTTATAACGTGTCATCGAGTTTTCATTTTAGCATAGATCGACAGGAAATAAAAAATTACACTAGTTAACAGTGTTACATTCATTTGTCAGCCCGTACGGGGGGATGAAATGGGGTGAATTTCATAAAAGAAATTAATTACTTCGTTATAACGTGTCATCGAGTTTAAATTTTACCATAGATCGACAGGAAATAAAAAATTACACTATCTAACAGTCTCACATTCATTTGTAAGCCCGTACGGGGGATGAAATGGGGTGAATTTCATAAAAAAAATTAATTGCTTCGTTACAACGTGTCTTCGAGTTTTCATTTCTCCATAGATCGACAGAAAATAAAAAATTACACTAATTAACAGGGTCACATTCATTTGTCAGCCCGTACGGGGGATGAAATGGGGTGAATTTCATAAAAAAAATAATTTCTTCGTTATAACGTGTCTTCGAGTTTTCATTTCACCATAGATCGACAGGAAATAAAAAATTACACTTTGTAACAGTCTCACATTCATTTGTCAGCCCGTACGGGGGGATGAAATGGGATGAATTTCATAAAAAAATTAATTGCTTCGTTATATCGTGTGTTCGAGTTCGAACTAGTGTAATTTTTTATTTCCTGTCGATCTATGTTGAAATGAATACTCGAAGACACGTAACGAAGAAATTAATTTTTTTTTATGAAATTCACCCCATTTCATCCCCCCTGACGTGCTGACAAATAAATGTGACACTATTAATTAATGTAATTTTTTATTTCCCGTCGATCTATGGAGAAATGAAAACTCGATGACACGTTATAACGAAGAAATTAATTTTTTTTATGAAATTCACCCCATTTCATCCCCCGTACGGGCTGACAAATGAATGTCAGACTGTTAGATAGTGTTATTTTTTATATCCTGTTGATCTATGGTGAAATGAAAACTCGATGACACGGTATAACGAAGCAATTATTTTTTTTTATGAAATTCACCCCATTTCATCCCCCCGCACGGGCTGACAAATGAATGTGACACTGTTAATCAGTGTAATTTTGTATTTCCTGTCGATCTATGCTAAAATGAAAACTCGAAGACACGTTATAACGAAGCAATTAATTTTTTTATGAAATTCACCCCATTTCATCCCCCCATACGGGCTGACAAATGAATGTAACACTGTTAACTAGTGTAATTTTTTATTTCCTGTCGATCTATGGTGAAATGAAAACTCGAAGACACGTTATAACGAAGAAATTATTTTTTTTTATGAAATTCGCCCCATTTCATCCCCCGTACGGGCTGACAAATGAATGTGAGACTGTTACAAAGTGTAATTTTTTATTTCCTGTCGATCTATGGTGAAGTGAAAACTCGAAGACACGTTGTAACGAAGAAATTAATTTTTTATATGAAATTCACCCCATAGCAATTAATTTTTTATATGAAATTCACCCCATTTCATCCCCCCGTACGGGCTGACAAAAATGAATGTGAGGGGCTGACAAATGAATGTGAGACTGTTACATAGTGTAATTTTTTATTTCCTGTCGATCTATGGTGAAATGAAAACTCGAAGACAGTCGATCTATGGTGAAATTAAAACTCGAAGGCACGCTATAACGAAGCAATGATTTTTTTTATGAAATTCACCCCATTTCATCCCCCCGTACGGGATGACGAATGAATCTGTAATCGTTACCCTTTATAATTACTCATTTGCTATCGATTTATGCTAAAATAAAAACATTATAATGGAACAATGATTTTTTTTACAAAATTTTTGAGGCGACGGCTTTATCTATTCTAGTCCTACTAGAAAATGTGGATGTGGATAACTTCACACCCGTATTTAAAGTTGCTTCCTGCCCACCGTGTGCCAGAAAGTTTCATCATTTCAATATTAACTTTAGGGGGGTTGCTGGAATCGTTACGAATATATTTTATCCACAAATGCATTAAAATAAATAGCCGTTGCCACAATAAGCAATCAAAGCCGGTCAAATGTACTAATACTACTAATGAAAATGAATGCACTAATCTCTGGCTAAAGTGCCCCACACACTTTCGGGTTTCGTGACAGTTATAACCGAACGTGACTACACCGTATGGGTAAACATGGAAGTGTATGTGCAATCCCGAATAAAATTATCCTGAACGGGTAATCCCGAATAACATCAGGTGCCAGTTGAATTTCGTTGGGACCGGATGCCGTGATTCACCGGCCTGTTTGCTTTCCTGAGAGTGTGTGTGCTCCGAGTACTGTACGTGATTGGACCGCGTGTTGGATATTAGATCGGATAGATTTTAAAGCTGTACTGTTTTCCTCTGCAACAACCACTCCTTGACCTATCTAGAACACTGTCTTTTCAATTTTTTCGTTTTTAAAAGTGGTACCGTGATTCCAAGTAAACGCAAAATACGCTTGGACCCCATTTTACTACTAAAACGGAACAGTTAAAACAGTTCGGAGAGAAAACGAGTGTGTGTGTCCTAGCAGGATTCGGGAAACCGGCCGGGTAATCACGTTCGGTTATAACTGTCACGAAGCCCGAAAGTGTGTGGGGCGCTTAACACAAGTGACCGTCTGCCGCGCTCGCTCAGCCTTCCTGATATATGACGTCACACGATATTGTGACGACGCTCAAGCTTTGGGAAATTAAGAAATTACATATTTCCGTCATTTTTGGAGATTGACATAATTTTTTCGACTTTCAGTTAAGTTAATGACTACTAAGTGACATGGAACTCTACATTTTCTGTCTAAGGAAACTTCCTAATTATCTATCTATTATGTGCACTTATGTTATGTTAGTACCACTTTTAAGTTAGATAATTTTTAAACAACTCATAAAATAACTAATGAATAGTGTCATTGTTATCTTAATGTATGAGATTATGCGTTTTCAAGAATACAACTATTTATAATACTTTACTTACCCTTTATAACTAAATTGTCTTGGTTAGGATCAAGCTGTAAGCTAGTTCTATAAGCCTCAAGTGCAGCTTCTTTTTTACTTAATTTTTCTAATGCTTTCCCCAGCAGTTCATATCCTTCGGCTGATTTTGATTTACCAGTTAAATATAAAGAGACGTAACGACAAGTCTGTTCATAGTCACCAACATTAAAATACAGCTTTGCAAATGAAAAACAACTTAGATCTCTCTGAAATAAAAGGTGTTTATCAATATACCTAATAGAAATATATTTGGAGTATAGTACAATCTCGCTAATCCGGCACAATTAAAAACCTAAGAGCTAAGAGTGCCGGAGTACTGGAAAATTCGAATTAATGGAAAATGTATATGTAAACAGTATTAAATTAAATAACGTTACTTTTAATTGTTTATGAACAAAGAGATTGGTACGTAGATACATAAATATTACAGTTGTGTATACATATATGTATATTGCAATGTTTTTATGTTTCTGTAAAATAATTTTTCAACTAAACTATAACTAGTCTAAGAGCCAGATAGGGCTTCGTGGCCAATCAGAGAGTGCTACGGCTGCAAGTAACTTACCTATTCTTAAGTACTTTGACCTCCTGAATCCAAAAAACTTGGTGGCAAAGCCTGAAAGTGGTCAGTTTAATTGTTATTAACAAATTGTTTAAAAGGCTGAAAAAAGTTTATTTTTATAGCTAGTACAATTTTGTATGCATTAATAGTTACATTTGTCTCATAACAAACATATACTTCTTTCAAAATTAAAAAATTATTAATTTTAACCAAACTTATTGCAAATTTAGTGCAAATATATTACATTTTGCGTCTCCGCTCGAACTAATTTTACCATATCTCTGGTTCTATTGGACGAATTGAGACGCACGACATCTCATTTTAAAGCTTGAACTTTATTTTACAAGATAGGTAAGTTCCATTTATTAATTAATTTATTTAACAATTAATGGCAGCTTTGAAAGTTGTGAAATTTCAAGGAAAATGCTGGTTATATTTGTTTATAAGGCTTTTTTTATTCAACTTCGATGAAAAGCCAAAAAAAAGTTACCGGATATTGTTCCTCGCATCCTAACAAACATATCATGCCTTATAAAGTTTTTCTTCATCAAAACCCGTGAGCGATCTACGTCGAGAGCGATATACGCGCGCTCGATCGAAAGTTCAGAGTTCAAGAGCTCTAATGTTATACTTTTATTATTAAAAAGTCACAAAGACTAAATAATAAAAAAGCATTAACAATTGATTTAATTACTGATATTTATAAGATTTACTTAAATAATAACAACAATTGTTTAAATATTTTAATTAATTTATTTCTTTTTTAATAATGGGCTCATTAGGTATAGACATTTTTGCAATAGCAAAATGAGCAACATTTAATTTCGGCAGCCATACAAACAGATGATCTTCTAGAGCAGGGGTCGGCAAGTAATTTTAGGTGGAGTCCGGATACTTTTGAAAATTTTTAGCGAGGTCCAGAAAAAAAAACTCGTATTGCTTACTAATTTTTTATTTTAATTTGAATTCCCAAAATAATATGAAATACAATAGATAGGCATATTTGTATTAAAAATCAATGGAAGAAATTACATTTGCGGTCTTAAGCCAGTTTTCTTAACTAATCTACTAACCATTAAAAAATGATAAGAATGTCACTCAAACGTATTGTTATCTACAAAAAATATGTTTTAAATAATTTGAGTAATTAGTAATTATACTTTCAAAAAATTTTTGGCGGTCCAGTTTTTTACCTTCCGCGGTCCGAATCTGGACCGCGGTCCACCAGTTGCCGACCGCTGTTCTAGAACATACTTTGCATGTGCAATTAGTGATAAGTTCATCTGGTGGAGGAAACAATATTTTTATTATTTTTGGAGCAAGCATATCTCCATCATCTATCCAGCCGAACATGTGTGGGTCTAACTTTGCAGCGTGGCTATTTAACAGTTTACCTGATTGAAAACTGTATAATTATATACATCTTAAAATGTGCATTTGTATTGACGCATTTGTAGGAGGCAACTCTTCTATTAAGGTGGCCATATTCCCGGCCGAGAAATAGTGAAATTTCTGGCGTTTTTAGGTACTGAAATCTTTGAAAGTAAAACGTGTAGAACAAAAGTAAGCACAAAAATAAAATCCTTGATGTTTTGTTTATTCATTGTTACCGTTTAAATTTACTCAAATAAAATAATAACTAAAAAAAAGCGTTTGTAAAACATGCGTTTGCTGTTATTCTAACCCCACATTTTAAGAATTATTTTCACGTACTTATAAATAAAAGTAAACAATTTTATATGTAGGACTAAGCAAGTAAATGTTATAAGAATATAAGAATGTGGAATTATATATAAAAAAGTTAGTATTTTCGTAGATTTCAGTACCTAAAACCTTGATGATTTGATTGTTTTTTGCACCTGTTTATTCGTTTTACTGCGGCCTGCGGCGTCTTTGAAAATAACCAGATGGCATGACATAACATTCCTATTATTTGATAAGCTTTAGATTATTCAGTTATTAAATGTTTGAAATTATTTGTCTTTGCGGAAAACACTATTTAAAGAATATGGGGCCCTTAAAGCGAATTTTGAATAGCGATAAGACCGTACTCATCATCAAACTTCTTACAGGCACCGCCGGATTAACCAGGGGGCTAGGGGGGGCTGTAGCCCCGGGCCCCACATGCTATTGGAAAAATTAAAAACAGACGGTAATAAAAATACTTAATGACAAGTTCTAATGTCATTTTTTACCTGCACAAATATTTTCATTGGAAATGTATGTTGTATTACATATAAAATTTAATATTAAGAAAATAGCATAGGTACTAAATTAATTAATTTAAAAGGACTTTTGCTTCTTCATAAAGGAAGTTTAAGAGTACCCCTTCCCTTCAAGCCCCAGGCCCCACCGAGGCTTAATCCGGCGCTGCTTACAGGTACCTTTCATTACGACTTTAACTAAATATTCTTCTGTCATTTTATTAGGTTTATTTGCTATTGTTTATTTTATTATTTGCTTTGATAGTGGTTTCTGAATAATCTATAAAATGAAACATCACATTTTTAAATATTTAAACTACCGGTTATGTGACTAATTTTATTAATGCCTTGACAATGAAATTTACAATGAACTACATTTTACCTTTTCCAAAATTGATCAAATAGTTTGTAGGATCTCCTTGCAAAGCTGAATGGTGTTTGTAATTTTTGTTTAATAAATAGATTAACATCATAAACATATAAGTATAGTCCAATTAAATAAGCCTTTCAATCAAAATTTTGGTCAACTTGGCTGAATTTTTGATATGAGTTAGTTTAAGGTATATTATAACAATAAGTGAGAGTAATTTTTTGTTCAACCCCCGGCCAAGGGTGAAAAAAGATAAAACAAAGGGGTTTTTCAAGATAACTCAAAAAGGGTAAGGGCTAGAAAAAAATGTTTTTCATAAAAGTTGTAAAGCATACAATTCTACATAAAAATGGCCTCTTGACTTTTTCTTGTACTATTAAAATTAACAGAGTTAGGGGGCTAGAAGTTAAGGGAAGATTTCAAAATTTAAAAAAATCATAACAGAAAAATGAATGAATTTTGTAATTTTTTTTTCAGTCTGCTCTAAAAAATGTAACTTCTTTTCAGAGAAATAGATATATTCAAGATATAGTCAATATAATTGTCAATTTGTATACATAAATCATATTTTTAACTCTCTGAGTAAATATGAATTTTTTATAAAAAAATATAGTTTTTCTGAAATAAAAAATAAGGATAGCAACAACCCCCAAACACGGAATCACTTCCGAAATATTTGTTTTTTATAAGTAATTTCCATTTTGTTTCATTTCAAAATATTGATTAGAACCCCAGACATTTAGAAAAAACTGTCTTGGGGGCATACTTTGAGGCTGTATTTCACCCTGTAAATATGTTTTTCCGCCGATAAAAAACAGGTCAACTTAATTTTGTCAATTTGTTTAAATAAATGATATTTTTAAATTTTTTTTTGAGCAAATATAAATTTTTTATTAAAAAAGTGCAAAAAAAACATTTTATCTGAAATAAAAAATAAGGGTTGCAACCCCCAAACACGGAATCACTTGCGAAACATATGTTTTTTTAATAAGAAGTAATTTCCATATTGTTTCATTCCAAAATATTGATTAGAACCCGAGTTATCACGGAAATATTATTTTTGGTGGTGAACACGAGGGGTAGTTTGCATCCGTTTAAATCCGTTTTAGTCTAAAAGCATTTTTTTTTTATTTTACAATGTTAATTCTAATCGTACAGGCATTTTTCTCATTAAGGGGTTGTTCACCCCCTAAACAGAAATTTTAACGAAAACCCCGAAACAGGTCAATTTAATTGTCAATTTGTTTACATAAATCATATTTTTAACTCTTTTTGAGTAAATATGAATTTTTTATAAAAAAATATAGTTTTTCTGAAATAAAAAATAAGGATAGCAACAACCCCCTAACACCGAATCACTTCCGAAATATTTCTTTTTTTATAATAAGTAATTTCCATTTTGTTTCATTTCAAAATATTGATTAGAACCCCAGACATTTAGAAAAAAATTGTTTTGGGGGCATACTTTAAGGCTGTATTTCACCCCGTAAATATGTTTTTCCGCCGATAAAAAACAGGTCAACTTAATTTTGTCAATTTGTTTACATAAATTATATTTAAAATTTTTTTTTGAGCAAATATAAATTTTTTATAAAAAAAGTGCAAAAAAAACATTTTTTCCGAAATCAAAAATAAGGGTTGCAACCCCCAAACACGGAATTACTTGCGAAACATGTTTTTTTTATAAGTAATTTCCATTTTGTTTCATTCCAAAATATTGATTAGAACCCGAGTTATCACGGAAATATTATTTTTGGGGGAGAACACGAGGGGTAGTTTGCATCCGTTTAAACCCGTTTTAGGCTACAAGAAAATTATTCGTATGGTTAGAGAAAAAGCATTTTTTTTATTTTACAATGTTAATTCTAATCGTACAGGCATTTTTCTCATTAAGGGGTTGTTCACCCCTTAAACAAGAAATTTTAACGAAAACCCCGAAACAGATCAAATTAATTTTGTCAATTTGTTTACATAACTCATATTTTTAACTCTCTTTGAGTAAATATGATTTTTTTATAAAAAAAATATAGTTTTTCTGAAATAAAAAATAAGGATAGCAACCCCCAAACACGGAATCACTTCCGAAATATTTGTTTTTTATAATAAGTAATTTCCATTTTGTTTCATTTCAAAATATTGATTAAAATCCCAGATATTTAGAAAAAACTCTTTTGGGGTCGGACTTTGAGGGTGTATTTCACCCCGTAAAAATGTTTTTCTGCCGATAAAAAAATACGTGTCTCTTAATCTTTTATGTTCTACAACATATATAAAAATCTTGAAAATCGGAGTGTTGGGGTTGGGATAGTTTCCTTGTAATAAACTTTCTTGTTTTCTTAATGTTTTGGACAAAAAATTATATGATATATATTTGTTATTGTTATCACTATGTTATTATTAATACAATTCAAACTACAAGTCTACAAGTATTAATAAATAAATTTACACGTTTTACATAGACAAGAATGCGTAAAAATATCGAGCTTTTAAAAAATTTAATCAACAAAAATATTAGTCCTCATTAATATTTACCTTTTTGAAATTAACAGTGGATAGCTTAGAATAATTCAAAGAAACACGTTTACTAACGCACGCGCATTGACAATAGCGAACGAAATAATCTATCTTTGTCATAGGCATACTATGTCCACGACCATGGTGCGACAAAGCGAACGTGATTTTTTTGTCTTTGTCTTTGCAGTGTCATAGGAGCTAAATAAAATTCAGAAGATAAAAAGGTAAATAAATTTGTAGCTGTCTAAGAAACCAACGTAAAAAAAAAATTCGAAGGCAACTTTTCAGTATTTTAAATAATCAATCGAATAGTATAGAAAAAACATTGTTTTAGTTTTGTTAAATCATTAAAATTAACGATTAAAAATTTGATTTTGTTATAACTTTCTTATTAAAAATTAAAAAATATATCTATTTCTCTGAAAATAAAAGTTACACTTTTTAGAGCAGAAAAAAAAATTACAAAATTCATTCATTTTTCTGTTTGTTATGATTTTTTTAAATTTCTGAAATCTTCCCTTAACTTCTAGCTTCCCTAACTCTGTTAATTTTAATAGTACAAGAAAATGAAAGAAACTGTGACGTATAAAACTAGGGTGACGTATAAAACCTTACCAAAGCTGCAAAAATGAAGATAATTGAATTTTGCAAATTGCTTTTGGTTTCTGCATATTTACACTATGTGTGTACCAAATTTCAAGTGTCAGCAAAGCTTCGAACAAATTTGGCAAAGTTTCGAGTTTCAGATGCCGATGAATGTATAACACCTTATAGAAGAAAAAGTTTTGCTCTCCTGATTTTCGGCTTTTTTCAATCTTTTTTTCAATCTCACGACTTTGTTATTGCAAATTTCGTAATCGGACCACCGCCATTTTGTAGTTATTTTTATTATGAACAAAATCATGTCCTAAGCATTTTTTCGTACAAAGTCATCCCGCTGAGTTATTTAAAGAAAACTATTAAAAAAAAAATGTTTCACGATTAAATTGTTAATAACTTTTTTTCCTGATAAAATACTTTGTCAGCAAATTAGCCTGTTATTGTACTCATCATTTAAAGTATTCCTGTGTAGTTATTTCCGAGTTATCAAGAAAATGTCACCAACAGTAACTTTTCGGCCTCTGTGGACTGGACTAAAAATAGATGCGCGCGGAGACGGAAAATGTAAGATGTTTGCACTAAATTTGCAATAACTTTGGCTAAAGTTAATCTTTTTTTAATTTTCAAAAAAGTATATGTTTGTTATGAGAAAACGTAATTATTAACGGTTAAAAAATTGTACTAGCTATAAAAATAAACTTTTTACAGCCATTTAAACATTTAATTTGTTAATAACAATTAAGCTTACCACTTTCAACCTTGCGACCAAGTTTTTTGGATTCAGGAGGTCAAAATACTTAAGAATAGGTTAGTGTTTGCAGCCGTGGTACTCTGAATGGCCATGGAACCCTATTTGGCTCCTAGACTAAATTATATAAACTATTCTTCAAGGATAGTAAAGAAACGCGGAAAAAATAACGTAGGATGCTGGTGTAGTGAAGTGCCGGATTATAGAGATTCTACTGTATCAGTGTTATCAAAAAAATCAATTTCGCAGACACAATCAGTAAACTACTACTAGTTCTTATTTTCAATAATTGACATATCTCAAAACATAAAACGCCGATGTGATTCTGTTACAATTCAATCGGGTGCATATTTTATTGCAGCTATTTGAATGTATATATCTGCACGTGTGGCGTTTTATATATAAATGATTTTTTTTAGATAAATTCCCGCCAGCATGAAGATCCCTTGCATAGAAATAATCTAAACATAGAGTACAAAACTATGTGGCAATGACGATTTTTATACGAATATTTGATGAAATTGATAAAATATTCCTATACATTAAAACAAAAACTAATACAAAAAAATTGGTCCCAACGGCTATTATTTTCACCGGCATGGTTTCAGTATCAAAAAAATGCTTACCTCGGTCTCGTTGTTTATCCTTTTTAAACTATTATCTACATGTATGTCCAATTCTAATTTTGTTTTAAACATTTTTAAGTAACAATACTCATGTATAAAGACGACACAATAACTGGTTAATATTTCTAAAAACTTTATAAGTACTAGACGTTATCGGACATACATTTATACTAATCATTGAAGCCGAAAAGTGGGGTGACGTACCAGCGTATTCATACGCATCCGCTTCCTTTATGGGTTTTGATTGGTTGAAAGGAACCAAGAACGGTAAGCGATAAAAAAGCCAAGCTAACAAAAAATATTCTCATTTTTTGTGTCGATGTGTTGTGCTAGTGCTTTGGTGTATTTTCTGTAATAATTGCGACTATTATCCTGTATATATTTTAACCAAAAACTTTATTAGACTTTGTTGTGTTAGTTATTAGTATTAGAGATATGGGTAGACTTTGTGCCTTATGTCGTTCAAAGAAAAGCGAAGAAATTGCGCTCCACGGGTAAGTACAGTATATTTTTATTATTATTCAATATTGTACACTGAACTGGTTTATTATGCAAAAATCGATATATTTGATAGATATATTTGTGCGTATTTTTATAGTATATATTCATGGGTATCGTATTACTTAAGCCATGCTCTTGTAATTAAATTTTTGTTCTTTTGTCAAATTACTGAAATGCTGTCGATAAAAATACATTGTTAGGTAGTAATAAAGTTCAGTAACTTTCAGCAGTTAGTGTTTGTATTAAGAAAGAACCCTTTAGATTTCCTACAAATAAGGAAATGGAAGCCAATAGACCGATCAAAATAACTCATTTAGAGGGAAAAAAAAGAAAATTGTTACCTGGACTTTTATAAGTGGAAATGGTAAAGGGGCTTATAATAAACGAAAAAATAAAAATAAATGCGCCAGCAGGGGCGGCGGAGGGTTGATTTGGGGGGTTGAAAAGTTATGCAAAATTGTATCATTGGGATTTCTGGCGAAAGTTGACATCAAACAAAAAAGTATCCAATACAAAAGTTGTAGATCATGCAAAAATCTACAACTTTTATAGAGGCCAATTTTTAACATAACCTCAAAATTTCCCGAGAAAAATGCAAATTTGCAAAATGCAATTTCTGATTTTTCGTTTTTTATTTCTCATTTCCGCAAAAATAATTTAATTTTGACGAAACTTGGTGAAAGTATACCTTTCTCTGTCTTAAATAACCTCAAATTTTTTTAGATAAAAAAATCAAGAAGTTTCTGAGATATTCATTTTTTCCGGCCTGAAACACTTTTTTTCAAAGAAAAATTCTACTTAAAAAAATCATCGTACAGAATTCTGCCGGTAATCATTTTTTTCGTTTTGACATATACTTTTTAGTGAAATAAAAAAATGTGTAATCACAGTTCAAAAACATGCTCAAAAATGCAAAAAAGTAAAAAATGACTTGCAGCAATGAATTTTTCAGTAGTTTGTTTAAATTAAGAAAAAATCAAAAACTGATTACACCATTCAATTGTACGGAAAAAATACAGTTTTTTTAAAGTTTGATAACTTCATAGATATACAGTGTGTCCAAGATAAGGATGGGATAGCATTAGGATCTAGGAAACGGTAAGAGATACGGAGTGGCTCAGATTAAAAAAAAGTTGTGTTTTTTTTATAACAATATGCTGTTTAGAAAGTTTTAATATTCCAGGTAGTTCCGGAGATATCCGGAAAAACCCGGAATTTTGCAAAATTGTTTAATTTTTTCTGGCTTTATTTGAAAACGAATTTTAAAATAAATTATATATTTACAATGCCACTTTTTTCGCTCTTTACAATTTGCAATCCGACGTTTCGTCTTCGAGGGGCCATGATCGGGTTAATATTTTAAATACATTGCTGCTATTTTTATGACAAAATCTAAAGTCATGTTTAATTCTGGATTAGACGATATTACTATTGTAAAAAGTTTTTACCTTGTTTGAGCTATAATTTAAAATGTTTCCTGAGTACGGCTCTGAACGCTTTCAAAATGTCTATTGCAAGGGTCGGCAACTGGCGGACCGCGGTCCAGATCCGGACCGCGGAAGGTAAAATACTGGACCGCCAAAAATTTTTTGAAAATATAAATTACTCAAATAAATTATTTAAAAAATATTTTTTACGTTTGAGTGCCACCCTTATCATTTTTTCTAGTATTTTACAATTGTGTGTGTTTTGAGTTCTTAATGCAAATGAAAATAAAAAATTTGTAAGAAATATGATTTTTTTTCTGGACCTCGTTAAAAAATATCAAAAGTATCCGGACCCCACCTAAAATTACTTGCCGACCCCTGGTCTATTGGATGAAGTCATAACAGTATAAAAGTCAATCCCGCACAAAATATCCAACAATTTTTTACTGCTGTTAGCAATACTAATTATAGCTGTTTTACATTGACAATGTATTCATCAATAAAATGACGAAGTTCTTCTTCAATTAATTGACGAATTTATTGATAAACAGTGTGGTTTTACACTGCCACGGACTTTGTCAAGTTTTTGACGTATGAATCAGTTCTATCAATGAATCAAAGAAGCAAATAAATTTCAAAAATGTCACCTTTCCACTCATAATTGTAGTGATACAACAGCGGTACTGTTCTGACACATATTGGGTTGGTGCTTCCGAACTTCACGAAGAAATTGACGAAAATTAGAACATGCTCTAATTCGTCAAGAACTTGATGAATAAATTGATGAAGTTATTTGACAGCTGATTTGGTGCATTACACTTGTCCAAATTCTTGATGAAGCGACTTCATCAATTAATTGATCAATAAATTGTCAATGTAAAACAGCTATTAGAAATAACAAAATATTCCATAAGTTCGTATTATTTTTTTATTAGGTACAACTTTTTAAATTATAGATTAAAAAAAATTCTTGGATATTTTGTGCTGTATTGACTTTTACTCTCCTCCTCCTCCCTCCCACCCTCCATTTTTAATGATAGCTAAAAACATTTTTAAGGATTACAATAGTAATATCTAATACAGAATTAAAAATGGGGTAGATTTTGTCATAAAAATAGCAGCGATATATTTAAAAAAATTATTCTGATGATAGCTCTTCGAAGACGAAACCTCGGATTGCAAAAATGTTGACGCCATTGGATAGAGCGAAAAAAGTGGCAATGTAAATATGCAATTTATTTAAAATTCGTTTTCAAATAAAGCCAGAAAAAAAAATAAAGCTATTTAAACGATTTTGCAAAATTCCGGGTCACAAACAGTAGACTTTGCAGTTAATACTTTGTATTGCTGAAATCTCAAATCATCCAGAGATAATTTATCATTTGTGCATTTGTAATTTGACTTACAATTAGATGTTTATAGCAATACACTGTACAAAAATAAAGTTTTGGGTTAAACAATGAGACACAGTTTTTTTTATTTTTTTTTCCGTAGAATTGAAGGATGTAATCAGTTTTTGAATGTTTTTTAATTTAAACAAATTATCAACAATAACTGAGTTGTTGCAAGTCATTTTTTATTTTTTTACATTTATGAGTATGTTTTTGAACTGTTATTACAGATTTTTTTTATTTCAGCAAAAAGTATATGTCAAAACGAAAAAAATGATTACCGGCAGAACTCTGTACGATAATTTTTTAAGTAGAATTTTTCTTTGAAAAAAAAGTGTTTCAGGCGGAGAAAAATGAATATCTCAGAAACTTCTTGATTTTTTTATCTAAAAAAATTTGAGGTCATTTAAGATAGAGAAAGGTATACTTTCAGCAAGTTTCGTCAAAATTAAATTATTTTTGCGGAAATGAGGAATAAAAAACGAAAAATCTGGTGGTGATGTTAAAAGTGACCTCTACAAAAGTTGTAGATTTTTTGCATGATCTACAACTTTTGTATTGGATACTTTTTTGTTTGACGTCAACTTTCGCCAGAAATCCCAATGATACAATTTTTCAATTAGCATGTAAATAATTGTATTGTAAAAACATAATCAAATGAGATAACTAGAACTGAGGTAACTTGTTAGTTTAAATGAGTCAACTTTCAGGTTATGTTATTGAGTCAACTAAAAAAAATCTATATTGATTGATTGATTTTAACATTGATAAATCACGTTTTTCTTTTAGGAGTAATACAAGTTCTCTGACCTTGCGGTTCTCAAACCAGTGAGTCGAGTCCTGTTGGCTCCGTAAGTAAGCCGAGGAGGGTTTATGGCAGAAAAAGACTTTTTCAAGACACCTTGGATTGTGACAGTAAAACTCCACTTCATGAGAGAGAAACTATTGAAGAACCTTCCACTTCTAGATATACATCATCAACTTCTGCAGTAAGCAAGTACCTGTTACATCATTATCTATTTATATGAACCTTTTGATTTATTTTGGAGCATTGCAAGTATATGTATACTTCACATAATGAATCTAATAATGTCATTGCTTGTAGTCTTGTATTTATTTTAGCAATACACCATCCAACAGTACAGTTAGTTGTGTATCCAGTGAAACAAAATTGATTTGTTCATAGTTTATTTGTAGCATGTACTATGTGCCGACTTTTAATCTCCTTCGTCTAATATCTTGCGAAAGTAGTCATTAAGTTCAAAATACTAACTTTTATGACATTATCGGTTTTTTTATATGATCGTGAAATATATCGAAATAATTACAAATATTGTTACTAATTTATATTGTTTATTTTTTTCAGTTTCATCCAAGAACACTGAAAAAACAAGTCCCAAGACTCACCAGCACTGAAATGATTATGAAACAACAGTTTATAAAATTGAAAATTGCTGCAAACAGAGCGAAAAGGAATAATTTGAAGACTAAGCCGAAATTAAGGTTTTTACAAAAACAGGAGAATATGATGAATTTCCTCAAATATATTAACAAAACAACATACACATTCTTTAGTAGTCAACTAAGAAATCAGAAATTAAAGCCTAAAGGCAGGCGCTTTACGAATAGATGATAAAATATTTGCATTATCTATTTTTAAACAGAGCGGTAAGGGCTATAGGTTTCTTTCGAAAATTTTTAGTTTACCAAGTAGAAAAACATTGAAAAAATTATTAAATGCTGTACCATTTAACTGTGGAATTAATGCCCATATCTTCGCTCACTTAAAAAATATTGTAAATAATATGAAAGATATGGACAAAAGTTGTATCTTAATGTTCGACGAAATTTCGTTAAGCACAGGCATTTCATATGATCAGAAAACTGATTCTATTCAAGGACTAGTAGATTTTGGTGGGGCTGAGCGAAGGGCAATCTTTGCAGATCATGCCCACGTGTTTATGTTGAAAGGTATTCACAGAAACTGGAAACAACCAATTTGTTTCTATTTCTGTGAACACACTACTGCAACTGCCGACCTTATTAGGATTATTAAAGATGTGGCAAGGCAAGTTGTCGGACTGGATTAGACCTGATAGCGACTGTATGTGATCAAGGAGCAACAAATAATGCGGCAATAAAACAACTTTTAAGAGACACAAATTCATATTGCTTAAAAAACCAGATTGAAAATAGGTACCAGGGCTATTTGATAGATGGTATTGAAGTTGTACACCTATTTGATTGTCCTCACCTTCTGAAAGGCATAAGAAATGGTCTGTTGACAAAAAATTTACACTTTCGCCAAGAGAATATTGATAAAGTTGCTTCTTGGTCACGTGTAATAGATATTTATCGAGTCGACAGACAAAGAGGGAAATTCAGTCAGTTCCCTAAATTAACCGACGAACATGTTTTGCCACAGAAGATACGAAAAATGAAAGTTAAGAACTGTACGCAGGTGTTTAGTTGGTCAGTTGCAACAGCAATGAACGCGATGGAAGAGGTTAGCAGAGAATTAAGCCCCGAGTCAATTTATTATATAGAACCTGCAGCTTCACAAACAGCCGACCTTCTACTATTCTTTGATGGGTTATTTGATAGTGTAAATGGCAGTGCATTAAAACCTTCATTAGGAAAAGAGTTGCGGGGAGTAGTGACATCGAAGTCAAAACACCTTGAAGTCTGGAGAACTGCGCTGCCTGTTTTAAATTCCATGTTTTTCTCTAACTCTCGCTCTTCTCATATTGTTACACCATCTATTAAAAACTGGATATTTACGCTCCGTGGCTTCTTATACATCTGGGATCTTCTAAAAAATAAAAAGTTTAGATTTGTCAGTCCTCGTTCCTTTAATCAAGATCCTTTGGAGAATTTTTTCAGTCTGATAAGAAGCCACGGATTAAGAAACACAAACCCGACATGTACTTCTTTTATATCTTCCACAAAGGCCCTTCTTGTTAATAACTTTATGTCTTCACACTCCCCCAGCTCCAACTGTGAAGAAGATGCTTCCCTTGGTGCATTAGACACTTTAAAATATTTTTTAATAAACGAACATAATGAAATTTCATCGAATGTTGAGTTACCAATTGTATTAAATCCTACTACACCAGATCCACCAAAATCGCCTGTTCAAACAATAGATCTTGCAAATTCTTATGTAGCAGGAGTTGTAGCAAAAAAGCTATTGAAAATAAATAACTGTAAAGTTTGTACTACAGACATTTTAACAGAAGAGGATATACCTCAGAACTTGTTGATAAAGAAAAGACAGTATCATGCGCACAGTTTGTGTACTCCTTCACACAGTTTTTTAAAGTTGTTTGACAGAATTGCCTGTATTATATATGATATGCTACCAAAAATTATTAACCATAATAATATCAAAAAAAAATTATTCAAAATTTACAATCATACAATAATGAAATACATCTATTCTTTTGTGATAATCATAAAAATTATTCCTTGAATTTTTTAAATATTGCCACAAATATGTGCATATTTCATTATATTAAAATTGTTAATAATGTTTTAAATGGGAAAGATCTACGCTACAAAGACTTGGATATTATAACAAATGCTGCTTACAATAAATTTATTAAACAGCGAAAAAATAAAGGATGATTTAACTTTAACCGAGTTTTATTTAATGTCGATAAGGAACACCTAAACTTGTTTTAGGTTTTGATTAATATATATGCCACGGATTTCATTGTTTTTCATACGTTCGCATTCATGTTTTGAATTCGAACGGTGAAAAACAATTAAATCTGTGGAAAGTAATGAATACAAACGGATACGAAGTAGTGGGATATACAACTTCTCTATGCAGTTTCCTGTAACTGGTATTACCGTGTCGCTCCTAGAGATGGCACTGCCTGACAAATTTTAGTACACAAATTTAACATAGGAGAGACTATCTATTTCCTGTTAGTAATCTGTGCCCTTTGTGACCTAATATCACATACACAAGTATGTGCCTAATCTTCAATACACCCATTCTTTCGTATTGAACAGAAGTTATTGAAATCAGTAAAGAACCAATCATGATTAAGAATTTTAAATATGCTGTATTATGATTGGCCAGTTGCCGATTGCAATCAGTTTGTTCGGCTACTGCACGAAAGAATACATGTAATATCATCAAATTTTTAATTTTTCCAGCGAACTCTATAGGTTCTAATACCAACATTACTTTTCTGTTCAAGTTAGTATTACAGTTTGCGATACATAAATAGTGCTAACGATCTCAACAAAATCTTTGCGTTTGCGTACTGAGTGTAATATTAACTTTAGCGCCTCTCATGTTTTCTTCGCAAACTAGTTTATATTTTTTCTCTGTCTAACATTACGTCGAGACTTTTTCCATTTAAGAGAATACACCGTGATTAGATCCAATTCTTACAAATTTGTCGCCGCCTCTGACAGAATTAGGGGCTCGGATTATTTTAACTTTTAACCGCATCTAGGCCTTTCGCCTTTCGTGTTCGACTTAACTTAACTTTATCTCAATTAATTAGTGCTGTGACCATTTCACAGATGTCGCTGTCTTCTATTAATTCCTAATTTTCACTATAGAGAGCGCTATCTATTTGTATATAATCTCTGATTTCGCTGAGTGTCGCTTCTTGTCTGTGCTTCTTGTCTTGTTGCTAATATATACTTTAAATTCTTTGGCTCCTGTCTGTGTTTGAGGTTTAAGTGTAAGTATTTATTATTATTATATTAATAATTTTAATTAAAATGTTCAAATCAAAAGTAGAAATAGACGAACATGTAGAAAACATTTTATCAAAAATAAACGACGAGATCCAGGTAAGCATTTTTTTGGTAATGAAGTCGGTGAAAATAATAGCCGTTGGGACCAATTTTTTGTATTAGTTTTTGTTTTAGTGAACAGAGTATTTTATCAATTTCATCAAATACTCTCATAAAAATCGTCATTGCCAAATAGTTTTGTATTGTATTTTTAGATTATTTCCATGCAGGGGATATCTTCATGCTGGCGGGAGTTTATCCAGAAAAAAACATTTTTTAAAGTAAATTGTAAATTAAGTAAATTGCCACACGTGCAGATACATAAATCCAAAAAGAAACAAAAAACTACAATAAAACATGCCACCCGATTGAAATTGTAACAAAATCATCAGGGAGACTAGTCTCCCTGAAAATCATGTTGGCCTTTTATGTCTCTGCACGATATGTCACGACTATTGATATTGAAAATAAAAACTACCAGGGGGCCTTTCGATTTGCCAAAAATAGTAACTAATAGCAACAGAGTTACTCTGAATTGATATTGGTTACTAATAGGTACTATTTTTGCCAAAACGAAAGCCCCCCCAAAGGCAAACTAGAACCGTTTCAGATTAAAAATTTGATCGTTGTTTTGAGCGCGTATCCGTACTAACTGTTGTATATATTTTTTGAACCTTGAAATATCGATTTTTAGCATATTTTCGTATCCGGTAATACCAGTATTAAAATTGGTAATTATTTAGTATAGTGGCCTCCCAAAATTTTGTCTACCCCTCTATTTTCGATGAACATGAATCTGAAGTTATTTTTGTGCGGTCGAACCTAGTTTTTTTTCAAAATTCCAACCTGGATATTTCAGATAACACTATATAGAACTCTGTATATTTTATGTAGCTTTCAGAACATCTGAACAACTAACACTGTTCACCAAACACATTTTCGCAAATTTCAAGTAAAAAAATATGTATTTAATAAATAAAAATTTTGTAGTTTGAATCCGCCATTTGCAATTCGTGATGACAGCATCGACAGCATTGAGTTCTCACACTCTCATTCATCTGTCACATAAAGTTACTATAATTTTAGTTATTTAAACACATACATTTTTTAGTTCAAATTTGGGAAAATGTGTTTCTTAAACAATATTGATTATTTATTACAGATGTCCTGAAATCTACATAAAATAGGTATACAGAGTTCTACGTAGTGTTCTCTGAAATATCCAGGTTAGAATTTTGAAAAAATTTTTTCTTGAAAACGGTTCAACCGCACAAAAAAACTTCAGATTCGTTTTCAGCACCATCGAAAATAGCGGCGTAGACAAAATTTTGTTAAAATTGGAGAGGGTGCCACTACAGTAAATAATTACCCGAATTAGAACATTCTAATTTTCCTCAATTTCTTCGTGAAGTTCAGAAGTACGCACCCAACAAATTTCCAGCCTCAGATCAGTAATGAGGTTATGTTATTAGAATATGTAGGTAAATAATTTTGTGGTGTCGTACTACTTTTGTGTTGTTTTTACTGATTTGTTATTTACAAAAACTAATATTTATATAATAGGTGTCAAAACGGTACCGCCGTTGTATCACTACAATTATGAGTGAAAAGGTGACAATTTTGAAATTTATTTGCTTTGATTTGTTGGTACTGTTGGTAGGGCTGATTCATGTGTTAGAGAAATTCACGAAGTCTGTACAGTGTAAAACCAAACCGTTTACAAATAAATTCGTGTATTAATTCATGAAGAACTTGGTGAATTTATTCATGAATAAATTGCCCATGTAAAACAGCTATTAGTTGATACGAATATTGCTTGTGACGCAATGGAAAAGATACAGTGGTTTTAGTGTAGTTCACTGATTGTGTGTGAAATTGATTTTTTTGATAACATGATACACCAAATATGTTTCTATTAGGTATATTGATAAACACCTCTTATTTCAGAGAAATAAAAAATGGTTATCATTTGCAAAGCTGTATTTTGATGTTGGTGACTATGAACAAACTTGTGGTTACGTCTCTTCATATTTAACTGTTAATCCAAAATCACCCGAAGGATATCAACTGCTGGGAAAAGCATTAGAAAATTTAAGTGAAAAAGAAGCTGCACTTGTGGCTTATAGAACTAGCTTACAGTTTGATCCTAAGCAAAACGATTTAGTTATAAAGGGTAAGTAAAGTATTATAAATAGTTGTATTGTGGAAAACGCATAATCTCATACATTAAGGTAACAATGACACTATTCATTAGTCATTTTATGAGTGGTTTAAAAATTATTTAACTTAAAAGTTGTACTAACATAAGTGGCTTGCACATAATAGATAGATAATTAGGAAGTTTCCTTAAACAGAAAATGCAGAGTTCCATGTCACTAAGTAGTCTATTCATTAACTTGATGAAAGTCGAAAAAATGATGTCAATATCTCCAAAAATGACGGAAATATTTAATATCTTATTTTCTCAAAGCTTGCGCGTCGCCAGAATATCGTGTGACGTCATATGTTAGGAAGGCTGAGCGAGCGCGGCAGACGATCACTTGTGTTAGCCAGAGATTAGTGCATTAATTAGTAGCCTAGATAAATGATAATGATTAGTAGTATTAGTACATTTGACCGGCTTTGTTTGCTCATGCTTATTGTTGCAATGGCTATTTATTTTAATGCATTTGTAGAAAAAATATGTTCGTGACGATTCTAGCAATCTCGCTAAAGTTAATATTGAGATGATGAAACTTTCTGGCAGTCAGAGGACCCCGCACAAACCTTATGGGTTTGTTCCCGGTCGATTCGTCTGAATTTTTGATATGTTGTACTTGACACCCGCCTGATCAAAAGTGTTCATAGGCCCAAAGTCTGAAAATGAACAGTTCGAGATATCAAGGACACATTACCAAAAAATTGCATATTTCCATGAACCTAAACATGAAAACGAGCACTTGAAAATAATTATTATCCATTTTTTATTATTTATTGGATTTAGATCGATTTGTGAGTATTGATAATATACAGGCTGTTACAAATTCGCTTCTCACTACAGGGATCTCGAAAACGGTAAGAGATACAAACTAGCTTAAATGGCCCAGTTCAATCAAGAGGACCAACATTATGCCTCTAAAAAATCAAGGCTAACATGATTAGTTTTCGAAATATTTGAAAAAAAACGAAATTTTGGAAATCCATTTTTGTTTCATTTCGGCCTTGTTTGAGGTGATATTGAAAAAAGAAGAACACTTTATCATGGTCACTTTTTGCCCTCTATCGAATAGCATAATCAATTTTTATATGTAACGTTTCGTCTCTCCAGAACCATCATCAACTTCATTTTTTTAAAGAAGACTAGAAATTTTATTACATTTTTGCAAGCCTTCATGACCCCCAATACACCCGAACCAGATTCAGACGTTTTGTCTCGAAAAATTAATCTTTTGGTGTATTTGTTCCAAATTTATCTAAATTTTTTAATTAGACTTCTTTGTTTATTGAATTATCGGACACTGTAAGTGTCGTTAGACCCTGTCAAATCCATCTATAGTAGGATCATATTTGATGCAAAATAATAAATCATTGCCTCTCAAGGGAACCAATGCAGTACACTTTTAAGGGTTTTAGAAGTTGAATAATTTCTATATACATTATGAAGGGACGAAGGGATCAGTTCACGTCTGGCACCCTTGTTCCTACAAAAATTCCTTTATTCTCATAAACTATTTATTTTAAATGTAATTTATTATAAATCCAATTTGTTTTTTAAATTCCACGTATGTACTACATTTTACCTCTGTACACGCCACTGTTGTTAACTTGTTTTTTTGGAGGCGCTCTCTAATTTCCGAACAAGCTCGCCAGGTTAGTATTTGACGTATAACCGACCACTTCGTACACTCGATGCACCTGGGCGACTACAGCTACTACCAGACGTGTGCAGCGGTATTTCAGATTTTACATTCAATTTCATTTTAAATTTGAAATAGTTCATCTTACGCCTCCTAAAAATGATGACACGATTTTCCTTTGATAAAAGACTGACAACTTTTTGCTCTTCTTTGCATCGAATACGATTCTACTATAGTTATTTAAACTATTACCACCACGCATTAAAATAAAAAAATATTAGAGTTTTATTCCCGTGTCCATAGTTATTTCTAGGCTTCTCGAGTACTCAAAATTCAAACAAATTCCGATCTATTTTTTTCACAGTTGCGGTTACAGATATAATAAATTCTGATAATATTACGCTGATCTTCATTTTCAACCTTTGCCAAAACGAAAATGTTTTTGAACATTACATTTTTTGTAGAATTTTTTAAAAATTAATTTTGTCATAATAAAATTAAAATTGTAATAATGTTTTAATTTTGACGCAACAACTTATTGAGTTATGTTTGACAATAGTCCAATTAAATAAGCCTTTAAATCGAAATTTTGGTCAACTTGCTTGAATTTTTGATATGAGTTAGTTTGAGGTATGTTATAACAGTAACAGTAATTTTTTGTTCAACCCCCTGCCAAGGGTGAAAAAAGATAAAACAAAGAGGTGTTTCAACATAACTCAAAACAGGTAAGGACTAGAAAAAAATGTTTCGTATAAAAGTTGTAAAGCATACAATTCTACATAAAAATGGCCTCTTGGCTTTTTCTTGTATTATTAAAATTGATAGAGTTAGGGAGGCTAGAAGTTAAGGGAGGACTTCAGAAATTTAAAATCATAAGCAGAAAAATGAATGAATGTTGTAATTTTTTTTTTCGATCTACTCTAAAAAATCTAACCTTTCTTTTCAGAGAAATAGATATATTTTTTAATTTTTAATAAGAAAGTTATAACAATTTCAAATTTGTTGTTCACCCCCCTAAACAGAGATTTTAACGAAAACCTCGAAACAGGTCAACTTAATTTTGTCAATTAAATTTGTTTACATAAATCATATTTTTAATTCTTTTTGAGTAAATATGATTTTTTTATAAATAAATATATAGTTTTTCTAAATAAAAAATAAGGGTAGCAACCCCCAAACACGGAATCACTTGCGAAATATTTGTTTTTTATCATAAGTAATTTCCATTTTGTTTCATTTCAAAATATTGATTAGAACTTCAGAAATTTTGAAAAAACTGTTTTGTGGGGCGAACTTTGAGGGTGTATTTCACCCAGTAAATATGTTTTTCCGCCGATAAAAAAAATACGTCCCTTTACATTTTTTAGAGTATGTTGAAAAAAAAATACAAAATTCATTCGTTTTTCTAAATTTCTGAAATCTCTTAACTTCTAGCCTCCCTAACTTTGTTATTAATTTTAATAGTACAAGAAAAAGTCAAGATGCCATTTTTATGTAGAATTGTATGCTTTACAACTATTATAAGAACCTTTTTTTTTCTAGCCTTTGCCCCTTTTAAGTTACCTTCAAAAACTCCTTTGTTTTATTTTTTTTCATCCTTGGCCGGGGGTTGAACAAATAGTTACTTGTTATAATATCCCTCAAACTAACTTATATCAAAAATTCAGGCAAGTTGACCAAAATTTCGATTTAAAGGCTTATTTAATTGGACCTCTAGTGATGGTAATAGTTAATAATAATAAATGTTTTATTGTTACGTGTGGTAACAATAAAACCTATTTCGGAGGTGTTTCGGGGTAGAAATGATTTGAATAATTTCCCATGCTTGCTCTTAGCCATATAGAATGATTTACAAAAAAAGAGGTGGATATAATCTCGTAACAACATGAGATATAAATATTTCATTTGAAGGGTGTTTCGGGGTGGAAATGGCTCGAGGATTTTTCAACACTTGCTCTTAGCCGTACAGAATGATTCATGAAAAAAAAACAGGTGGATAATCTCATAACGACCTGAGATATAAATGTTTTAGTTTTTCTATCCCTATTTTAGGGATATTTCAGAATGAAAGTGCTTTGAGGATTTCTACATACAGTGCCATTTAACACTCCCGCTGTCAATATCTCCGAAATAAAGAAATTTATTTTAGTTTCGGAAACTGAGGTTGTTAGGTCCTTCGAATAGCTTCAAATTGCAGTTAGAATTGATATTTCAAATCTTCCTGTAGAGATGGCGTAGATATTTAAGTTGACATGTCTCTAAAACAAGTAAATATTGGGAAAAACTTTATATTACAAAAATTACTTAAAATTTAACGATCTTTTAGATGGACCTCATTTCCACATTCCAAGAATCAATTTTGTAATATCGCCACGTCATCTATACATAAAGATTTGAACTAACAATTCTAACTGCAATTTGAAGCTATTCGAGGGACCTAACAACCTCAGTTTCTGGAATTAAAATAAATTTCTTCATTTCGGAGATATTGGCAGCGGGAGTGTTAAATGGCACACCCTGTATATGCTCTTAGCCGTATATAATGATTTATGACAAAAAAAAGTAGGTAATCTCGTAATAACCTGAGATACAAATATTTTAGTTTTTCAACCCCTATTTTGGTGGTGTCTCGGAGGTGGAGTACCGAGTTCAATTCCACATACATATTATGAATACTCAAATTTATCCAAACCGGATAAATAATACAAGAATGGATAATAATGATTTTCAAAAGTACTTGTTTCCATTTTCAGTTTTTTTATTTATTTATTTGTACTGCATATATACATACAAAGGGACAGTCCAATTACATGTATACAGTTGAGAAATGTTAGCTAATATAAAAACCAATTAAAAATAATGTATAAACAACCAGACACACGCAAAATACAATGTAAAAGAGAACAAAGAAAGCAAACAAAAAAATGTCAATTAAAATGTACATAAATCATGCAATCTTATACTTTTTAAGTAATTTAAATATGCGACCAAATTTTTTTGGCTCCAAAGACATGGGGGCCCACGAAAAATTGTCTTAAGGGGGTTTTTCGCCAAAAAGCGTAGCACTGTGAGATTCTACATGTCATAAAACCCCTGTATACCAAATTTAGTGATTCTCGTACAACAGGGTTCTGAGATATAAAAAAAAGATTATTCTTAGGGGCGGACTTCAGGGGGCTGAAACTCCGAAAAAGGGGGCCACTTGACAAAAATAAAAAATACGGGTCCCCCAAATTTGTCCTAAGAATCTGTGACCAAATTTTGTTGCATGAATTTCGGGACACCCTGTATACTCCCAATATAGGGTATTTCTTCTGTGTATGTATGATACCAGTTT